ACTCATGCAATCAAACGATGTAATGACCTGCGAATACGAAAAGTTCCACTGGCACATAATGGGACTGAAGGCTCAGAAGCTGACCGGGAGCACGTCTAAGCAGTGGTGAACATTTACGCATAAGTTTCGCGCTTGCAAACGACTTTGGCACATTCTTGGCAAACTTCTTTAGTGAATGTTTCACCTGCTTGAAAGGTGTAGCTTCTATGAAACAAAGTAACAGTGTATTTCGTCTAATGTGCTGTTGCGTCAAACTCGCTTCTAACAAAAAATTGTTTTAAGTTCAGGTCAAGATTTAATAGTCGTGAGTAGCGAGGTATTCTGCAGTAAATCAGAAGTAAAGCACCTCGGCGCTGCAGTACGGAAAACATGTTGTAACGGTAGCTCAGAAATTACGTACAGTTGTCCTGTCCATCTGGCAATTCTGCGTTCTGCGGTCTTTCATGAAGACGTGCGTATGGGCTCTAATGCAACATGTAGCGCCAATCTACTCCCTTAACGTGACCCAGGAGGAGCGATACATGCTGCGCAAAGCTGTCAAAATTGCGGCTTTGCTTCACAATCTAGACCTGAAGGGAGAAATAAAACCTATCGCTAGAAAACTGGTCGAATCAGTGGCATCACTTTGCGACAAACTAAGGACAACCCAAAATATCCCATGTAAGATACACTAGGAGCATGCCGCTCTAAGGTTCAATCAACCAGAAACAAGTTTAACGTCACTGTTCGCTGCGCAGAGGCCTACAGACGAACAGTTTTCGAATCTGAAAAGAAAGCACGCTTTGACTCTCCAAAAGCTCAAACGTCATACGTAATTTTGCCCATCGTCACGTAAACGCTTTTGTTGTTACTTTGTATATTCCTTTGCTCTCTATCCAGAGCAATTTGTGTGATCTTATTGATTCATGAATTAAATTACACTGAACTGAGATGAATGAAACAAGCCATTACTGGTGAAATTCGTACAAAATAATCTAAGTTACCCGGTAAAGCGTCCTTCTCTACGACACAACTTATGAAATTGAACGATACAGAAAAGGAACGGGAACTGCGATATTTTACTGTCCGGTGCATATTTCATTAAAACAGCAAAAGTGCTGCCAAGATCCAACTGTACACGAAGGTAATAGTGTACAATTTATGGTTGACTTTAATCAGTACGCAGTAACACCAAAATGCTTGCCTATGTTTAAAGCTTCTAGACCATGTTTCGCTCAAATTCTATTTATACCACTCTTAGCAAACTAGCATCATATAAAGATATGACAATTTTGTTCACGAGCTATTTTCTTTCGATGTACCGTGACACATTTGCTGTTTCATTTGCGCTCATGTATCTTTCGTTCAATTTTAAAAATTCTAGATAATAAAGTTATCTTTATTCTCGTAGTAAACAATATGGATATAAATATGGAGAAAATACTAGCGTTTTTCTAGACTTTAGCCTAGCATATAAAGACAACCTCGCGACCAACAGATTTGAATAAATTCGCTCTAATTAAACTTTTACAAACAGAAAAAAGTTGTGGCCGCCGGGTCGCACATATTAAGATCTCAAAACTCTGATCAACCATCCTCGTCATCTTCGACACTGGCGATTTAAAGCTCCTCTCCCTGATATGCCAATTACAGATATGAGGAAGACGTGACAATCGTTACATCTATGACTAATATCTCTTCATTTTTTACCCACGAAAATAATCTGTTCACTTTTTCTCATATGTTGTCGCGGCTTAATCCTGGAAAGTACCAAAAGCTGTGCCATTCTTCATATTCTGTACTTACATGACCTTCCTTCCAAAATTAACGATGATGAAGCTGAATGTGTACACTCAAATAAATAACGAACATCCGCCCTTTCTGAAGATTTTTCTTAGTCTGAACATCAGAAGCTGACTGAATGATAAAACAGGTCGAGTGTATATCTTATATGTCTCAGGCAAACTGGAACTCTAAAACCCGCATTATATCTTTTCATTAAACCGCGCATTCTTCCAATCACTGCCTATGCCTCCCCTATCTTCCTTACTGGCCTTCTCAAAACCGATCTGCCCATTCTGCACTGGACCCTGAAGTTGACTGTAAGATATCGTTTTTTCGACTTCGAAGTCTTCGCCAAAGAACTTGTACAATGCATCCTAAAAGTTTGCATATGCTGGGACACTGATATTCTGTCAAACATCATCCACTTTATCCGGTTCTGTCGTTTTGTATATCCTTAAATCCCAAATTTATCAACATATAGAGACAGAGATCAAAATTTATCAACATATACTGTCAGATGAAACTGAGACGAAATTAAGTCATTAGACCGCATCATGAATTAACCACCACCGTGTAAACAGTTAATTAATTTGCCTATAACTTAACGTGTTCATATACGTTGCGTTGTTCGTTATTGTTCATTTGTGCTAAAAGGTTTGGCCATCATCAATAATATACATTCAAACATTCATATTATTTAATAAGAGGTATCAACAGTGATATTATATCATGACCTCAATCGACTGAAGGAAAAATACCATATTTAAATGTGAAATGATTAGAATGTACTAGATTTCTGAAGCAAAAACAATGTTTAAAAATTTATAAAAATCTAACCGGAGTGTTGCTTAAGTATGTTTTGCATATGATTTCAAAACAACAAAAGTTTTGAAAAATAAGCGTCATACGTACGCTTAGCGTAGGCGAGCCGGCGGTTGGAGTAAACTGCGTTCCGATAGTTTTACCATTCCTGGCAAGAATTTCGGAAAAGTTCACTTGAATATGATGGGGCCGGCGTGAAGCCGGAGTTCTCGCAGACACTGGGGTAGTCATGTCGTAGAACACTCGCAAATAGAGAACGACATCGATCCACCGGGTCTTCTATATTTCCTCAGTAATTTAAAGTAACGTTGTTTTAAAGGGCGAGGTTAAACATATTAAACCCCATGTCGTGAGTTTAAACAAAGCATTACGAAAATGTTACAACTTATGTTCAAGTTCAGTGTAGCTTAAATAGTGTAAGGGTTACGATAAGTGCTATGTTTCGCCCATGACTGTACAAGCCTGTAACACATTGACGATACCAGCAACTGAAACCATCGTCCTTTCGAAAGAAATAGGACATGAAGATGTTCAGAGAGCATCAATGAATGGGACTTCCAGGTTTTGACTCATTTCATGAGTGGTTAAAGATCATATTTTTTCCATTTCTCGGCATCATTCACCGCACATAGTTTTGGCAGATCTCTCTGTTTTCAAACGAACCATTCATGTTTCAATCAATATTTTATGTTTTCTTCAAAGAAGGTCATTGCACTGTATGTGAATCTGTCTGGTATTTGCTAATCGACGTATGGTACCCATCGTTTCTGAACAACAGAAGACGATGAGTTTCGTCCATCTGAATCAGTTTGTCGAATGCCCTTTCAAAGATCTTGAACACTTCCGAAAGACGAGCATCGAGCGGAGCGAGAGACCAAGGCGGCTATAGACTCTTACCATTTCCCTTCAAACGAAATAATTGGAAACAGCCGACAGCATCACCGCTGGTTCACCAACCATACAGTTGACCAAAGTAGTCAAATCATTCGTCGCCATTACTTGATCTTGGCCACTGACTCAACCAGTTATGCCCTAATCAACTAGTGTACAACTGCAGGGAACTGGCTTTAAACCCTACCCCTGTTCAGACTTGAGTAAGCAATTATGTATCATCGTTCACATGCTAAAATCGATCAAAGGCCTGCCATCCGGGAATATTACCTTGGTACAGCGCTTGGTTTCATTCTGCCGCCAATGCTGTTCGACGTGATAGACCACTGCAGTACTTTTCTATGGTTCCGCTCTGCTGAACGACACATGTTCGTATTTATGAAGCTGTTGGGCATCTGAAAGCTTTTGTGTTCAGTAAGAAACAGTGATCACTAAGACTAGCATTTATTTCAGTACCGGTGCAACAAAATTAAATCGCTGTGACCATAAGAATGTTTATGCAACGAAAACAGACGACGATCGGAGTTACTATTAAAAAACAGTATATGCATAAGAAAGCGGTAGGGCCATCAAATCACATCAAATACAGCGGAGTCGTGATTTCATCTGAATAAATTTAGCACTGTGATATAATATAGGTGAGAAAGTGACCCAAAGAATAAACTATGTACCACTTATAGTTGTTTTGTCCTCTCTGAGACTGTTGTAAGTATATAATTGTCATCAAAGGCTAGCAGGGCTTAAAGAGCAGAGCAAAGCAGATTTATGATGTCAGACTTAAAAATAGTACTACTGATTTACATCAGGCAACGTGCGTTGCTGCAGCAGGACATATTCTTCTTCGAAAACAAGTCTGCACGGTTCACAAGCGAGAAAGATTTTAAACATTTCTGATACCTTTTCACTGAAAGAAATGCTCTGAAAAACTAAAATTAATGAACTGCACGTATGCATAAATTTTGAATCTTACGGCTTGGTCCTGTAGGTCTTATGAATTACCAGCAGGACTGGTATTTTAGATTTCGACCGTGGATGGGTCCCATCTTCGTATATGAACACTGTGAATTTTCTTCCAAAGATGAAACTTGAAACATTTGTTTCACTTCTGTAAGCGTTATAGATCGTACAAGAGGCACTTGAGGGAGCAAAGTCCGTCATCGATACTAAACCAAAGGTAAGGAAATGAAGTTAAACAGAGGCTACAGCAACAATGCGAAATGTCTGAAAATCAATACTTATTATACACGAAGCACACCCAATGCAGTACGAGTACTTCAAAAGTAATCAAGTCAATGCAAAGGAAATCAATCTTTACTATAAAACAAATAGCTTTAAACTACCCTATCACAACCATCTGACTAGCACAGAGTAAAAAATCCACGCAGGTGCAAACGTAAGTAAGCAGCTTCGCAGAAACAGATAGCAACAAGGTAGCATAAAAACTGTGCCAAAAATTCTTGGATGAAAAACAGTTGAGGGTGCTGTTCGAAAGCATCTTCCGCTGATCCAGCCGATGATTTTGTCATCAATAAACTTTCACTTCTTCGACATCTAAGCCCTTGTCAACGTCATCACAGATTTCATTTATTAAATCATTAAATGCCTCGGACTGGTCAGCGTAAACGTGATGGCCTGCACCTCGAATAATCTGAAAGTTCAAATAGAAACAATTATGCACAATTTTCAGCTTCAATCAAACATCCTAATAAAAAGAAAAAGGTTTCATTTTAGGTGACAATGTGAGAATTTTGCAAAATTCGGCAGTCTGCCTTGAAATTCGAACGTTACCTCGTTCGGTCTGTAAACCTAATTTTGATAAACGTCCATAGTATCTGAAGACTACGTTTATAATTATGTGTTCTTCAATAAATAACAACGTTCCTGAGTCTTGCTAAAGCGAAGGAAAAATAGTTTGCGACCGCTGGAAGGTTGTGTTCCTCACATTTTTACAATGGGGCCATTTCTGGCGCCCATTATTTAACGAAGTTAGCAGTGGAATGCTGATCTGCATTTCCACACCATTACCTTATTTTAAAGGCAGAGTCGACTACAGCTACGTGGTTTGTATGAGTACGCTACTTTCTTTCTTACAGAGTGGTACTCATTTATCAACCACGCATGAAAGAAAGGCGAATCAACGGGTCACAGTTTGAACACTAGACCCCTTGGTTCTGAAAACCACACTTCGGAAAGGAAACAGCGTGCACGAACATTCTGAACTCAGACCAAAATTCATAAACTTCATACAAATTCAGGAGGCGAACCAATTGCAGAATAGGTCAATCGTGGTATATCTGTCCAAACGTTGACAAATTAGACAATAATTCTAATTTATTATTCAACATTCGCAAGAAGGATATGGAGTGGTTTAGGAATGAATGGATTAAAGAAAAAAATGAGGAACAAAGTAAATACTGATGTTGATGCAAGGAATAAGACAATGCAAAATTATACTTAATATCAGCCTGATGGAAACAGTTTTTAGTATCAAGGAAGATTCCACCGGTCGCAATATTTTCTCCGCTTCTCCTGTTTGATCTTCTTCCTCCACACTGGTTTATGCAGACCAAATATGGAATCATATAATTTTTAAAACCTACGATGCGGACTACTATGCTACTGTGAATACTACTGGGTGTACTATCTTCAACCGGCCCGGCTGTCAGTGAATCCAGCTACGTGCCCAATTTCCTGCATTCAACGATAACATCTTTAATTATAGTCTGATAGCGGATTACTGCTCAGAGGCAGTGGTGGGAGAGCGAAACGTCGGATGTCCTTCTTTACTTGGTTCCTTCAGCAATATACACCTTATATTCTTCCATTTTCGCCAGGAACCATGTTCCATGGTTTATCAAAAAGACATGATCGAGTTGCTTTGCTTGTTTTCCAAAGTGACATATCTTTGGTGGCGTTAAATGTGCGTCAACCCGACCTCCTTTGCAATATGTAACTTGTGCTGCAGCAACATATGTTGACTTCCTGGCCCAAGCAGTTGTAACTTTCCACTAATACGAGGAATCAACGTGAGGCTAAGTCCATGGTCTAGGGTATTTATGAGTAAGACAAAGACTGCACCTTGAGAGGATTCGATCCCAGTTTTTCTGGAGTTGGCCTCAAAGCCGACCTCTTTGCCACTGTGCCACCATATCTCAAAGTCATCCACTTAATATAATAATGTAATATAATAAAAAATGCGCCATAATACGTTTTATTCATACTTCCCGGATTCTATTCCAAGCCAAGGTACTAATCTCATATCGATTTCGTTCACTGTTCAAGCTGGAGGAAATTATCAAGAGTGGTATGTGGTTTCGTTACTGTGTTCAAACCCTGATATGTGGTTTCGTTACAGTGTTCAATTTTGATATTGCGAGAAACATAACGGATTCTATCACCGCTATAATAGCAATAATCTGTTCCCATTAATTTTCCTTTTACAA